ACCGGACTTCGAAATAAAATATCGTTATTAATATTGTAATATAGAATTTTTTTTAATTAAAATTGCACTGTTTTTGATTAAAACAAATCATCTTACTAATATTATTAACGCGAATGGATGGTTACTTAGAAGATATCTTCAGAACGGCTTCATTGATCTTGCGGAAATTGGCTTAGATGTAGAATAGCCTGGAAGAACCTATAGACTACTTATTAAGTTACTTTTGGATCCGCGCAGACGGAGTCGCGGGCGCGACTAGTATTGTAAAAGTATACAAATACCAAAGTTGTTTAGATTAAGTTTTTTATTTATCAATCAATCAATCTAAGCATTGTAAAAAAATTAATTGTAAAAAAACTCTCTTTTTTCTCTTACGTTCATAGTTTTCGGAAAATCATGTTTTCATAGTTACATTAGCACAATGAATTTGGGCTATTTGTTACAACTTATGCAACCTGAATTTAGTTTTAGTTAGAGCTGTTCGTTACTTTTTCTTTGGGTTTTTATCGGTAAATCGATAGGGTTTACACTTTTTTCTATTTTAGATAAAATTAAATCAAACAATTGTAGTTAGCTCATCTTACGATTACCGTACCAAGCGTCGGTGGCTCAGTGGTTAAGCACTTGACTTGCAATCTGCATGTCCTGGCTTCGAATCCCGCCATGTACCAATGTGTTTTTCGATTTCCGATTTACATATGTACATTTATCCGACGTTCTTACGGTGAAGGAAAACATCGTGATGCAACTTGCACATATCTAGAAGATATTCAAAGATATGTGTGAAGTCAACCAACCCGCACTGGGCCAGCGTGGTTGACTTTGACCTAATCACTTTTAACTTAGGGTAGGCTCCGAGCCCCTCGGTGGGGACGTATAGTGAGCTGATGATGATGATGATAATCTGATCAGTATGTTCTTGGTTTGAAGCTTTGAAAAGTACTATATCATCATCTCAAGAGAATACTTAAGGTCAAATAAGGAATATTAATCGAACGTGTAACTATACATCAACTTTAGTTCGAAGTAATTTCAATACGGAAGTTTCGACGACAAACCGATTATAGATTCCGCGTTTAATCATAGTTTCGTAGTAGCAATTCACCGCAGTATTAGTTCCCGGTGAGCTGGGCTGGTGGGCTTGTTGCAGGCTAATTTAATGCACGGTCATGCCCCAATGAGTTGGTACGCGGGCTTACGCAGTTTATTACCGCACCATTGGTAACTACGCGGCCCGTACCGTTTCATATTACATCGAAATGTACGCGATTCGCAAACATTCAAAAGAATAATAAAATAAAATGCATCATTAACCTGGCACAATCGACTATTCAAAGATAATTTAACAACATAAATGCACATTTAAATTTTTAAATGTAATATTGTTTGTATGTTTTTATTAAATAGTTATTCTGAGGTTTAAAAAATTATAACGTAAAATACTTTTGTTTATAACATTATTCAGAGATCAAAGGAATCTGAGGTTTGAAGCGTCTGAACTCCACAAAATGTTATAACGATTTATTTGTCATTATTATAGAGAAAATATCTTCCTTACAGTTGGTTTGCGTGACTAAAATCTTTGTATATATAAATCCATATCGATACCTTCTCATAATTTTTGACAAAACAGAATTAATATGTTTTAAATTATGATTTCGGTCTCAGAAATTTACGACTTACTTACTTTGTAATATTAGTTTTAAGCAGAAAAATGTTGGCAGTTAATTTACTTAATCACATTATAGTAACATGTTAAGCCATTGATTGTTGCATTAGGGAATCAAAGTTCATTAAAAGAAAATTATCTTACCAATATTATTAATGCAAATGTTTGGATGGATGGATGTTTGAAGGTATTTTCAGAATGGCTGTATCCTCTGATATTTGGCATAGATGTAGAACATAGCTTAGAAAAACAAATAGGCATACTAGTTAATTTTTTTATACCGTGCGGACGGAGTCACGGGCGACAGCTAGTCTAGTACTAAGAACATTACTACTGTCTTTCGTAAATGTCGTGTATGCGATAAGTTTGAAAAACTAATTCGAAGTATCAATTCATTCGTATTAGCTGTAACTAGCTACTGGAGGTTTGTTACATACTAATTTAATGCACGATCATGCACCAATGAATCGGACACATAGCTTCGTTAGTTTGCTTCTCGGATGGTTAATTACGCCGCATGGTGAGGAGCGGGTGTAGATTACATAATGTCGTGATGCGGTCGTGTAATGGACATAGAATGAACTAGATAAGTCATAGACATTGTATTAATAGGAGCAAGTTTGTAAGTATATGAGCGGATAAATGTATATATGTAAATCCCAAAATCGAAAAACACATTGGTACATGGCGGGCTTCGAACCCAAGACGTGCAGAGTACAAGTGCTTTACCCCTGAGCCACCGACGCTCCAAAGTTAAAAATGAAGTCAACTTAAATAGTTTGTAGTCTTGTTAAAAGCTAAAGTACAATTTAATTACAAATATCAGAGAATTTAAAATATTAACGAGTCCTGCTTAAACTCAGGTACATTTCCTTTTAAGAAGTTTTAATCGACGAAACTTTTGGTTCGGTCGTTATTCCGAAAAGTGATGAAGACAACGATCTCATTAAGAAAAAAAACTTTTAATTAAAAAAAGGACGAACTCAATAAAGTTTCACGAAAAGACACAAATGATGACTGAACTGATGGAAATATTTCACGTTTAACTTAGTTAGATTAAATATAACAATACAATTGATACAAGTACGTTTGTGTAATTTCATCATCATCATCAAAATCAGCGTAAATTTGTCCACTGCTGGACGTTGGCCTCCCCCATCGATTGCCACAATCATCATCAACATCATCAGTTCACTATACGTCCCCACCGAGGGGCTCGGAGCCTACCCTAAGTTAAGGGTGATTGCCACAATGCCCGGTCCCAATGTGTAATTTAGTGACGTTAATTTTTTTTTCTTAAACCAAAACAAAAAAAAAAGCTTATCGACTTTTAATAACTACTCTTTTTTATCAATGTCTTTTTTAAATGAGATTAAAAAAAAAAGAATTACCAAAAATTACTATTAAAAACATTTTTAATTGTAATTTTTGGTAATTGGTAACTTAATGGGTATTTTGCAGTAAGATATGTTGGTCTGCTTTTGACATTCCTGACATTTGGTTATATTTACCATGTACCCCAAGGCGATATGGAACCCTAAGCAATGAAGTTATGCAAGGGAATGAAATAGGAATAAAAATTAATTATTCCTTTAGCTATGTGTAAACAATAATCAGAAAAACCAATTTAGTAAATAAAGAGTGTATTAAAATAAATAGACGGAGAATTTAGAACAATTTTATTTTTATTGAAAACTTATAAGGCCAAATATATGCCATGCCTGTCACATGATCAGTGTTCATACTATTGTTGTTTCTGTTTTATCAATGAGACTGAAAGAGATGGAAATATATCTTGATACAACTGTCACATCAGTTTCGTCCCGGAGACCTAATTTAGTCCTCTTTCCCTTCCTACCCTTTTTCTTATAAGTAAAGGATGGGAAGTGGACTTTCCGGATGAGAGGATGCATGGAAAGGGAAAACATTTTCTTTCTGTGCATGCTCTCCTCCGTCGATTTAAGGTGGGCAACGCATATGCAATTGCGTATGTCTATGGGCTACGGTCACTTCGCTATTTCAGCGATTTGAGTCAGTTTTTATTAGAAAAAAAAAGATTAAAAAGAAAGGATTTCTGAAATTATATTGAAATTAAATTGATAAGCTGTAACTGTATATCTGCCAACATGATTAATCTTCATGTAATTTCTATGCAAAACAATTTCCGTTTTAGATAATTGCTTATATTTTATTAACTGTGATGAAACAATTCTACGCACATGTTAATTTATTTTAAGTATCGTATCATAGTATTTTATGTAAGCATAATTTATAACCTGTTATAATAAAATTACATTGTTCTAAAATTTATTTTCCTTATTAACATAATTTGCTACTAATCCTTTATTAACAAAAAATTTACTACAATAATAATTAATTGATATAAAAACGGCTAAACACTCACGTATATTCGTCCGGTGGCACCGACTAGTTTCGAGCCCATCGGAGGCCCTTCATCAGGGTGAGTGGGACTGGTATTATTTCGCGGGCGCGGCCCGTTGCTCACTGATCAACAGTCGAAACTAGTCGGTGCCACCGGACGAATATACGTGAGTGTTTAGCCGTTTTTATATCAGTTTATTATAATGTCTCACGAAAGTTTGAATAATTTATTAATGATTGCTCTCATAATCATCTTTGCTATGATAAAATGACATCCATCAAAATCCTTACTATACAATGAAGTTTCGCTCACTCAAATCAGTGAATGAACTAGCAAAGTGTAATAATAGTTCTCTCACTCCGTTCACAATGCTTATAACAATCACTAACGCCTTCCTCGTATGCATCAAAGCTAACATGTTGTGAAAGTCATTGTTATGTTTTTCTTTGACATCACCAAGACAATCAAAGGATATTTCCAGTTCAACGGCTTTTATGAAAGTAAGTAAATGAAATGAAACGCAAACGAACAATTACAAAGAGATCTCAAACAATATTAAAAAGTAAGGCCTAGCACGAGTATCTATGACAATTTCTTTCCTATCGTAATCGACAAAATTTTTGCAATGCTCAACAAGCGCATCGAGTTTAAAGTACACTAAAAATCTTACGAGCGTCGGTGGCTCAGGGGTCAAGCACTTGACTTGCAATCTGCAGGTCCTGGGTTTGAATCCCGCCATGTACCAATGCGTTTTTCGATTTCCGATTTACATATGTTCATTTATCCGACGTTCTTACGGTGAAGGAAAACATCATGATGCAACCTGCACATATCTGTGAAGAAATTCAAAGATATGTGTGAAGTCAACCAACCGGTACTTGGCCAGCGTGGTTGACTATGACCTAATCACCCTTAACTTAATAGGGTAGGCTCTGAGCCCTTCGGTGGGGACTTATAGTGAGCTGATGATGATGAAAATTCTTATACCAATTTTTACATAATTGTCGATGACGATACGAAGCCGATCGTCACAAATATTCGTGCTAGGTCCCCAGATCAGAATTTACTTCTACCGATAATCTTTCATAATTTGTGACTGTGAATGAATAATACATATCCAGTATAAATGTAGCTATAATCTAATATAGCACATTGCTACTATATTGTAAACCCGCGTTATGATATATCCAGCCATAGTGCGGTGCAACATCTGTGTATACAATATAAAATTTAGGATCGCACTGAGTATGTCCTGGTGGAACTCCACATTTGGAAATAATACCCCGCAGGAACCAACTAATCGAGAGATCAGACTGCACCATAGCTACCACCAGACCTCCGCCGCTGTCGCCGTTTCGAGCGTTGACATCTAGAATAAAACATAATTATATGATAAATATAAAAAATACTTACAAATTGCGTAACAAATTCCAGTAATAACATGTGATTTTTAATTCTAATTGCGTTTGATCATAACATAAACATGGTAACTTTCAGATATCTTGAGGGCTCCTTATTGCAAGTCGCTGCGAAGAATACAATTTTAAAGTAGCAGAAGAATGCGGGAAGCACGGCGCAGCGCGTCGATGACCTTGGGCAACCAAAATATTTGAAAAGGACTATAACATTAATATTACTAACTAAACATGATTGAGTCTATTCATATTATGATAGAACACTCTTTAAAATCAATCAAGCTACTGAAGGTTCAAATTAGTATAAAAAAGTTACTAGATGAAGGTCCATATCCTGCGCAGAATGTAAACTCGTTCAGCAGACTGGCATATAATTTAGATGAATACGCAATGCAGGTTAAGTCATTCTGAACAATTGTGTAAGCAGATCTGAGTGTATCAGAAAGCTTGTTGTCCTCCGTTGTACCGAAGCCGACAATCTGGAAATTTAAATTATTAAATTCAAAATAAGCTACGCTTAAATCATAGGCCAGAAAATTCAGTTTTCATTCAAATATCTTACTAATCTTACTAATATTATCTTACTATCTTACTCATATTATAAATGCGAATGTTTAGATGGATGGATGTTTATTTGTTTATATCTTCAGAATAGTTGTATGGATATCGCTGAAATATGACATAGATGTAGAACACGGGAAGAGTACATAGGCTACTCATAATTTTTTTTTAATTTTCGCGGACGAAGTTGCGGTCGAGCCAATAGTTTATAAATTATAAATTGGTGCACGAATGAAAATTAAACATAAGGAAAATATATGCAAAGGCTGTATAGGAATAAATTACAGTCGCTTCCTTTCCGAACAGCGACGATTTGTCATACACTGGTCCCCAGATGCAAACAGGTTGCACATATTCTGTGAATCGGAAAGTTGTAACTTTTACGATGGCCAAGTCTGCGGTAGCTTGGTCGTCATTGAACGCCGGATGAAGTATAACTTGTAAAGCCTGAAATATGAATAAATTTGTTGTTTGTAGTCTTTTACTAAAAATAATATATCGATATATCGGAATACATTCTATAGAATTTGACCAGCCAGTGATTTTTCAATTTCTCCTCGGTCCATATATATTGGTGATTAATTTGCAACATATCGCCTAGCATGGTCATTTGATATCAGATAAATTCATTGCTAGAACGTCGGTGGCTTAGGAGTCAAGCACTTGACTTGCAATCTGCAGGTCCTGGGTTTGAATCCCGCCAATGTGTCTTTCGATTTCCGATTTACAAATGAACATTTATCCGATGTTCTTACGGTGAAGGAAAACATCGTGATGCAACCTGCACATATCTGCGAAGAATTTCAAAGATATGTGTGAAGTCAACCAACCCGCACTAGGCCAGTGTGGTTGACTATGGCCTAGTCACCCCTTACTTAGGGTAGGCTCCGAGCCCCTCGATGGGGACGTATAGTGAGCTGACGATCATGAAATTAATTGCTACAAAAAAGTCAACATGATATAGATTATTAACAAAAACAGTGCAAAACTTACATTATGCACTTGACGGCCCACTTGATTTAAATCAGTTAAATTACTTATTCCAGCTAATATTGTTATTCTCCAAGGATCTACGTTGATACCATTTTTGCTTATGCAGTGTCCAGCTGAAACAGAATTACGTTTTATTATGATAGATATGGGCAAACAAGCCATGGGCCATCTAGTGCAAAAGCCACGGACATCAGCAAGGACAGAATAGATGTCATCATGGGCAAGACGGTCTTTTCATTAAATATGTATTATAATAGCAATTCTTATCTGTTGTTCCAAATGAAGGTGGCTAAAAACAAACTCAATTGATTTGACATAGAGATGGTAATTGAACTGTAACATTTATTATTTTAAATGATGTTATTTTTAAGGAAACTGTGCATCAGTTGTATCATTTTTAAGTTGTACCTGTTAACACAGCAGTTGTGGATATAATGTTGCCACCGCACTGATATCTATCAATGTTTGTGATAATTTCTTTGACCACAAGTGCCACGTGCCACGGCCAGTCGCCAGCTCTGACGTTAGTCCTAACCGATGTCAGTTCCGTGTGATTCAAACTTCGTCTGCCGCATATATGCCGATATTTTGTATCGTTCTCATTTGTTACGTTGAATTTGCTTACATTTTGTGACTCCTGAGAATAAATAAAAATACAACATTTTTTGTGTGTGTTGGCCGAGTAAGTTTTGTCGTAAGAGTATTTCGCGAATAAAGCTTTTTATATTAAAACTAGCTGTCGCCCGCGACTCCGTCCGCGCGGGATTAAAAATAGATGTTGGCCGATTTTCAAACCTACTCAATTTGCTCACAAAATTTCATGAGAATCGGTCAAGCCGTTTCGGAGGAGTATGGGAACGAAAATTGTGACACGAGAATTTTATATATAAGATATTTGCCTTGATTGTATCGTCACATAAAATATGATTGTTTATAAGAAATCTTTTTACGATTGGGACATCTTCACCTTCTTCGATTACGGCTAAGTAAAATATATAAAGTTTTGGTACATACTGAATTTTTATATTAAAATCTCGTTGGTTATTTTCAACGGTCACTATTGCATGTCGAGTAGCCTGAAATAAAACAATATAATATTTATTACATTGACTACAATAGTTAATAAAATAAATTTCTAAGAATACTTTCTTCATTTAATTTTTTATAAATATACATTCATCATCATCATCATCAGCTCACTATACGAACCCACCGAGGGGCTCGGAGCCAACCCTAAGTTAGGATGATTAGGCCATTGTCAACCACGCTGGCCAAGTGCGGGTAGGTTGAAGTCATCACACATATCTTTGAATGTCTTCGCAGATATGTGCAGTTTGCATCACGACGTTTTCCTTTACCGTCAGAACGTCGGATTAATGTACATATGTAAATCGAAAATAGAAAAAACACATTGGTACATGGCGGGATTCGAACCCAGGACCTGCAGATTGCCAGTCAAGTGCTTGACCCCTGAGCCACCGACGCTGGAAACATACATTACAAATGTCAATTCTCACCTCAAAAACCGCCATTCTTTTTTCGAAATTAATTTGTATTTCGATTCCATTGGTGATTCCATCGGTATTAAATATACCCAAATTTAAAACACCTTGCCAAACTTTATTTTTTATTTTTTCAAAATGTATCATACCAAGACCACAAGGATCATACCTTGTTATGGGTGGACCTTTTAAATACATTGAGTTTACTCCACATAAACACAAAGTAACACACAGATAGCGAAATATTCGGGAAACTACCATTATTTAAATAAATACTTTAAAAAAATCTAATTTTTGTTCTAATTATTTGAATAGAAATTAAACACTTGTTAATTTTTAAATGCTTCTATACATTTATTACAACTAAGTAATATGATTAAATTGGTTATACCAAATTAATATCACATTTAAGAGGAAAAAACTGTTCTAAACAAAATATTCTTTATACAGAGTGTTATTTTGCGGAAAACATTTTGTTCAAGCGATACTATATATATTGATAACTTCTATTACTTATATCGTTTTATATTATTGTTAAAAGTGATTCATGACCGACTTTGCATTGTTAAATTACAAAATACTAATTGTAAAATTATGATTTAGTTGTATAATATCATTTAAGTAACAAAAACAATGTGTTTTATATTACCTACTAACCTACAGTTAGTTATGATTCATAATTACGACATAATTTACATTGTTAAAAATTATAACAAAAATTAGTCAGGTAAAGCAAAATCTTTAATATTTAAGAAAATATTACAGCTAAATTGAGGAATAATATTCGAAAATATTTAAAAGATTTAGTCTTAATGAATAATTTTTATTATATTACCACTGTTTTAAATATTTATCTGATGTATGCGGAATTTATTCAATTAGAACATTTAATTTACCACAGAATAAAATAAGGAAACTTTTTCCATAAAAATAATTACGATAATTTGGAACATACTGTGTAGCAACATCGCGACCTGTCTGTTAGTTTACTGACCCCGCGTTCGTTGAAACCCAAAGTGTTTGATAAAAATGTTATTGTAATTCGTAATTGTTTTTGTCTTGGCCATTAAAATATCTTATCTTTGGGTTTCTGACGAGATACTAGTATTGATACATATTGCTATCCCTCATATTTCTTTGAAATAAACAAAGACTGCAATATGTCTCACGGGTGTTGAAACATTGACTTGGTAGTACACATTTAATTACCACCAAATGCTAAAATTACTATCAATAAACAAGGAGTAGATTAATTAGAATTATTGCAATATCTTTTTTTTAATTTTATTAGTTTATTTTATGCCAGCAACAGATAAAATAAATAAATAGGATAGAAAAAAGAATGACGTAAATCTGCCACACAAAGCAATAAAGCTAAAAGCGTGTGAAGACAAAATGTATTTGCATGGGTAAATAGTTAACGCACCATTCGTCCCACATTGCTTGTTGCAAATGAATTGCCGTGATTTAATGGCGATAAATTTGCTAAGGTTGTTTCAGCAATTGCTTACTCCAGGAGACTTTAACGTTACCTTTGCGTGCGAAAAAAATCACGTTCGCAATGTAGTTAACTAATTGGCGAGAAAAATATTGCATTGAATGCAACGGTTCTTTAAATTTTTTTTCAACATATTTTATTAATTTAAATTATTAATAAATCGCTTTTTTACTTGAGGTTTTAATTGTATTATTAGAGTATTTCTACAAACCAAAATATTTATAAAGAAACACAACGACAATTATAAAAATTACATCTCAGGTTATTACATTTTTTGTCAAACTCATAAATTAATTTTTATATTTCCCTTTCAACAAACTTTTTCTTGTAGCCTATAAAAAAGTTTGAACATACCTACGTTAGGAGTCAAAGCATACCGTAAGCAGCAATTTAGGGGCCAAAATTAACACAATACTTTCAACGATTGCGGGTATGCTCGTAATTTCAATTTTACAAAGCTTATAAAGCTTTTATTTATATAAACAAATGTCAGAGAAATGTGACACATTTTTGTATAAGGGGTGTTTTAAAACATGACATTAAAATATACAACATATATTTTAAAAGACATCAACATGCACACGTTTTGTTATATGTAAATGTTACGGTAAATATATAAAACCTAGGAATTATACACAATTTCTAGGAAATCTATAGAATTCCGAATTTATTTAGGAAATGTATGCGACTAATGTTGTCTTTGAACCACAGTTATTAATAGTGAAACAAGTTGTTGTACCCATGTTACATATAATTTTAAAAGTAGGTTAATCTTATTAATATCATAAATGCGAAAGTTTAGATTGATGGAAGAATGAAGGGGAATTTTTTACAAGGTATCTCTAAAACGGCTCTTTGGATTTTGATGAAATTTGGTATAGATGTAGAACATACTCTATAGGCGAATTAAGTGTTTTTTAATACCGCGCAGATTCGCGGGCGATGGTTAGTATAATATTATGTTTCAGATTACATGTAGCCAAAAAGAAATAATAACAAAAACAAAATTATTCGACTACAATAACATATCAAAATAATATCTTAAAATTTAATACTAAATTAATTTAGTACATAAGTACATAAGTGTTAGTATATAGAGCGGGAATGCTTCCGACAGCTGATGCATCAGATATTAACATGGTAACGTAACACTCCGCCGTGCAATTAGCCCCATTGATATTCAAGTATCATCTGCATTAAGTGAATTAGCTCAGTACATTACACAGATAGCACTTCTAGTTATTAACGTTGCTTAGTGCTAATGCTAAGATTCTATAATCATGCTACGTTAACGTAACGTTTGGTACAAAATAAATATATTTATTCTTATTCTTATAAGAATAAAAATAAATTTATTTCACAAAAACACGTTAGAATAATATACAGTGAAGTATGTTGCAGACCCCGAACTAGGCTGAGCCTGTATCTCGAGGCCTAGGAGTGCATTAGCCATAAACAAAATAACAGTACGTACATATGTAAAACTAAGCGTGATATTATGAGATACAATTTGGAAAATAAGAAAATACATGAAGAAATTAAACTAAGTAATTTTGAACTGCAAATAATATCAAAGGATAGCATGTGTAACATTATCTCCAAAATTTTTATTTATGACACGTAAATGGAGAAATTGAACATCCTTTACAACATAGATCGAATTCGATGGATATAACTAATTATATTGAGACGTTTCACTGTCAGAAAATATCATTTGTTTTTCGATGTTAGTTACCAAAGTCCTCCAATACGGCTTGACCGATTTTATTATATGAAATTTTATATGTATATTCAGTAGATCTAGAAATCGTGTTCTATTTTTTAATTCCGTGCGGATGGGGTTGCGGGCGACAGTTAGTAGAAAGCTTTGTAAGGACAAATGTAAAGTTACTGAGAACGAAATAAATTAGTCAATAAGTTTACCGTCTTCCAATAAGAATAACAACAGAAACTTTTTAAAAGTATTTTTACTTCCATATTTAAAAAAAGCAGATAAATTATTCTAAATCGAAGATAAAAAATCTTTTTCACTACTACAGACGTTGCGCTTCGCTTCGCAACGTAGCCGCGAGTCATAGGAATAGTACTTGGCTAGTCGCTTAGTGGAAAAGGCGTCTTAAGTCTTAGAATCTAGTTAGAAATACAAGGAGCTGTGACGTCACACGGTGTGAGCGCAGACTGATTTGTGGGAGAGTCGGCTGCGGGCGCGAGCTCACTGATTTATTGGTCTGCAGCCAGAATGTATTGCTTACCTGCGATTCACTGCATTCTTGGCGTTGTGCTTGCGCTGTACACAATCAATGTTATGTTACAATCAGTGTTGACGATAAGAACAAACTTTTTTGTGTATTTTTCTTATAATTATTATGTTTTTAAATCTAGAACAAGAACAAATTTTTTTTCTGTTCCTTGTCCTAAAATCTGTTACAATATACTATCTTTTGACGTTTGCTGGACTGTTTTTTTTATTCATTTAATTCTTTTCAAAATGAACTCATAATTTCTCATTCAATTAAAGTTCATTTCCTTTCCTTTGTAAACAGTTATGTTGTATATATTAAAATCTTAACTGTATGAGGTAAGATAGGTTAGGTTATTTTTTGGATAACAGTGTCACATATTATAGATTCACAAGCAAATGAAATAACATACAAAACAGTATGATAACTAATCAGTAATTACGTTAATTACCTTTTGTGGTTTTCGAATTTTCACATAACAATATTTTTCAAATTAATGACGCCTGAACGTATACAAGTTTCACTTTGGTCATATTGTTTCATGATAATGGTTACAACATTTAATCTAAAGCGCGGTGTCATATAAATAGTTAAAAAACTTATCATGATTATTAAACAAAAGCTTAATAGGCACAAGAGCACCCGGTAGGTCCCCTATGAGGTGGACAGAGCAGGTCACAGCGGCAGTAGAGGTCGCTTACCGGTATATGCGAAAAAAGCAGTTGTCCGGGTCGAGTGGAGACGTCTGGTCATGAGTCACGGCACGTAATCGATAATCACGATCTGTTTGTAAATACTGAAGCCACTAAGAAGAATAAATCCTACCAATATTATAACTATAAATGCAAATGTTGTGATGGATGGATGAATGTCTGTTTGAAGGTATATCTCCAGAATGGCTGCTGCTGCTGGAATTTGGCATAGATGTAGAACATAGTCTAGAAGAATACATAGGTTACTAATTAAGTTTTTTCTAATTGCGCGCGGACGTAATCGCGGGCGACAACTAGTAAAAATATAAATGACAATAATGTAAATCTATTTCTCGATAATTCATATAAATAGAAATAAAACATCTTTTTCATTCCAAATGAAAACGTAACAGATATCATTCATGATAAGAATCGGTTTAAAATTAATCTAGAAATATGAAAATTCTCAACAATCCAGATTCATTATCGCTAATCCGCTTTAGAGTTGCCGCTTTGCAAATATTTATTGCTGGAGATGCAAAGACGAGGATTACCCACCGCTCCTTAGGGACGCCTCTGTTGCTCTTTCTTACATGACAAAGACAAAACTTCCCCGAGTGTCGACTCCGATACATTTCTGTTGTATCACTTTAGTCTTGAGCACGATTCAGCCATCGCTTACTGCCTTCTACAAATCCCTATTGTATTCATTAAGTAAATTAGCTATGTTCTTAAAGATTTAAAACCTCTCTTTCTTATTTAATTACGAATGATCTT